AGATGCTTATGCCTACCTGGAGGAAATACCACCCAACCAGTGGTGCAGAGCATTCTTTAGTGATTTCCCCAAGTGTGATATTCTACTCAACAACAATTCCGAGGTATTCAACAAGTACATTCTTGAAGCCAGAGAGCTTCCAATTTTATCCATGCTTGAAAAGATTAGGAGCCAAATCATGAATAGGATACATACCAAACAAGAGGAGTGTGTAAAGAAGTGGTCAGGAAACATATGCCCAAAAATACAGAAAAAGGTTGATAAAAATGCAGAATTGTCAAATACATGCTACATATTACCTGCTGGTAAAGGGGTGTTCCAAGTAACTGATAAAGAACACCAATATATTGTTGACCTCATGGCAAAACACTGTGAATGTAGGAGATGGCAATTGACAGGGATACCATGCAACCATGCAATTTCTTGCTTGAGGAGTGAGAGGACAAAACCTGAAGATGTGGTATCCTTCTGTTATTCAACTGAAAAATACATGGAGGCCTATGGATTTAACATAATGCCTGTTAGGGACAAGGCATCTTGGGTAAAGATGAATGGACCAAAGGTGAACCCACCGATTAATGAGAAGAAAGTTGGAAGGCCTAGGAGATGTAGAAGAAAGCAGCCACATGAACTTGAAGGAGGAACAAAAATATCCAAGCATGGTGTGCAAATGCATTGTAGCTACTGTCAAGGAGTTAATCACAACAAGAAGGGCTGCAAGAAAAGGAAGGAAGATATAAAAGCAGGAAAGCAGCAAGCCAGTGCTGCTCCTTCACAACAACATGGTAATGAAGATTTTATGCCTCTGCAGGTCATGCCTGAAGTTCTGAACAGTCAGACTAGCATTTTAACCAGCCAACCTAGCTATGATCAGTTACAAAATACCATATTGTCTTCCTTGACGAGAGAGGTTAGACAATGCTTTGCCAATTTTCCATTTTATAGCTTTATAAAACAGTTTTCACAATTTCAATGTACTTTCTGCAGAACATTATAAACAACTCTTCTAGAGTTGACCTTGGTCCACTGCCAGAATCAAATTTTATTGCCACAAACCAAAAAGCTGCAGTGCAGCCGCCAATGACGACAGCAACCAAAGAGGGCAGGGCAACAATTCGGAAGAGAAAAGCTGAGCCAAGGAAGAGAAATACGCAACCCAATAAGAAATCAGAGTTGAAGAAAAGGGAGGAGACAAAGAAAAAGTGAACAATATATTCAACTTGATAAAAAGGATTAGCTTATAATTTATCCAGAAGTTATGTTTATTTTTTGCCAACCAATTAGACATGTTTCATTTTGGAGTGTGCTCTGTTACATTGCTCTAATTTCCAATTTAGGAACATCTCTTGTTTTTCCTGTTTATACAACAGCTATTTATGGTAAAACATTTCAGAATATTAGGAGCACATTTCTGCCAGGATTTGTCTATGGACAAGAAAACATACCACATATGTCTGTACAGAAATTGCTACTGGTCAAAGCAATGTTAGCAAAATTCAGGTTATCACTTGGACATGCAGTTCCAAAAGAGAGAATACAACCAGTATTTGCTACATCGTGTTCACCATTCATTTAAGTAGCTGAAAAATTCTTGTATCCCTTATATAACAAAAGCACTTCCAGAGTATTTACAAAAGCACCTACACTGCCATTATTCACTCACATACTGCTTTGACAGCAACAAAGAGTCAAAGAGTCCTCTCACAGTGGTACACCAGATGCAGTTATCATGATGCTGATTCCACTATGGACGAAGAATCCCATAGAATTACAGCACAAAAAAATGGAAGGTTCAGATTCTCATCAGAAGGGAACCTACTACGGCCATGGGCGGCGACGGTGGTTTCGAGATCTAACAACCCCCTGCACTGGCTTTGAGTCCTGATGGCTGCCGTGGCCGGGCTTCGTGTCCCATCGACCACTGACCCACGCCGGTTTCGAGTCCCCGAGGACCGCCGCCACCAGCTTTGAGTCCCGACGACTGCTGCCGCACGCCGGCTTTGAGTCCCACCGACCGCCGCAGCCGGAAGCTACATATTTAAGGTCCTATCCCTCATGGTGATTAATTGATCCGTACTGGAAAATGTCCTCAAATGAGAAAAACAGCAGGGGATTTGTGCAAAATTATTATGATGTGTAAAGGGCCCTCACGTAGACTTTGTCCAAGGTGGAAAGCTGACGTGGCAAAAAAATCATATGTGGCAGCCTTTTAACCACAAACGCACCCACCTAGTCAAGTTGTTGTATCGATATGTCCAATTTTTAAGTTCTTGTACTTAATCGCACCCACCCGCCAAGTTCTTGTACCGTCAACGCAATTTACTCTATTTTAAACATCACTCTCAGTGTGTTCATAGTAATATACTTACTCAATCTGTCCGTAAAAAAAGTGAGTGAAAATTTTTAAGCCATCAAAATACTAGTATCGTTATCCTTTTATGGGGCATATTTTGACACATACAGTCAATATTAGATTATGGAGTATTACATTCAATCATATGCATATCAATCGTACAAAAAATCGCCCGTGCATAACAAACTACAGGACCAACAAAGAGAAAAAAATGAAACGAAACCCCGTCCACGGGAGGATAGAAACAGCAGAGATGCGGATGACCCGAGAAGCATGCCGCACGTGGTGGTGCTGCATGCGCTAGGCTTCCTCCAGATCCGGCGCAGCAACCAGCGTCTACATCGGCCTCCTGCCCTATACTCATCGACGCAGGCCTGGAAGCTAGTCGCCGGGCCTTAAGACCGTTGCCGCCGCGCAAGGTGGAAAGTAACCTTCCCCTCCTTTCTGGCTTGAACGTTGTTTCAGGGCCACCACTGCCGCTGGCCGACTACTCGTGTGCTCCCTGAACCGACCATGAGGCACGCCATGGACGACGTAGCCGGCCGCCGCCACCCTCACGGGCTCCGAAGAAGAACGACCACCGGCGCCGGCCTTCAGATCGGGCACCTTCAAGAGGACGGCAATCGCCCTCTCCTACCTGGATGCATGACGACGCCACCCCTCACCGATGGATCTCCTCGCCACCACTCGGAGCTCGGCCTCCACACCATCGCCCCGACGAGCAGACCGGTCACTCGTCGCCGCTGAATCCCCAATTTCTCAGATCCGAAAAAAATGGAAGAGGACGGGAGTATGAATGGGGGTTTGGATACAGTGAGATGGTTATGGATGGTATAAATAGAACTATTGGTGTGAGTAAAAAAATTACTATTGTTTGGGCAGGAGCGTTGACAGGGTGGGGTGGGGGTGGCTCTTAGTGGTGCGCGAGTTAAAAATTTACTCGGACTATTGGAGTGGGGTAGGGGTGCAGGGGTGGGATCGAGATTGGTCGTCGATGAGTTAAATTTTAACTATATATAAAACTAATAAGAAGTTGGATAGCATCAAGTAAAAAATTTACTCGGACTATGGGAGTGAGGGGAGGGCGCGCAAAGGTGGGATCAAGATTGGTCGTCGGTGAGTTAAATTTTAACTGCGTACTATGGACCTGGTGGGAGCGTGGGTGGGTGGGGTTGGAGGCTGTATGAGGTGTTTTTTAATACGTAGCACCTTAGGGTGTTGTATAGTAGTTATATATATATATATATATATATATATATATATATATATATATAATTACATTAGATTTCTATATCATGATTGTGGGCGTTTGCATGCAAATCGATGCCCATGCTAAATTGCTAATTGCTCGCTGTATCCTCACATTAAGGCATGTTATCCCTCCCTAAAATTTTATACCCTGTCACATCGAACGTTTAACACCTACATAAAGTATTAAATATAGGCTAAAAAATAACTAATTGCATTAAATTGCGACTAATTTGTGAGATAAATTTTTTGAGACTAATTACTCTATGATTTGACAATGTGGTGCTACAGTAAACATTTGCAAATAACGGATTAATTAGGGTTAATAAATTTGTCTCACGGTTTACTAACGGATTTTGTAATTAGTTAAACCGAAATCATCTATCTAGGTGTTATCATCAAATTAGGAGCGACATATATAAAAGAACAGTCAAGACACAGCGGAGCTTCCTAATTGTTAAATTTACATCAATAAATAAATGAAATACTAAATTTCAGACCCCCAATGAGGAGGGACAATCTCATATTTTCAATTATAATTTTCAGAATTATTAAATAAAAAAATTTGGATTCCAAGGCGAGTTCATTTTTTTATATTAACTGTGAGGCCACATTATCTATGATTTTTCTATTTTGAGAACTATTAAATTAGAAAATAAAAAACTAGAACAAGGTTATAGAAAAGCATAAAGAACGCATTTGATACTCTAGCACTTTGCATTGATCATCAATTCTACAGTTTAAAATTATTTAATAAAAATATAAAATCAAGATATTTTAATGTGTAGAATTATTAATAAACAAAATAGATAACAAAAAGTAAATTTGGACGTGATTTCTATAGCAATTGCATAATTATTGACATTTTGAGTTTCCGGGGAAGATGCCTAGGCCACCATGCATGAGCAGAGTATCTTTCAGTGGAAGCATTGGATGCTAAAAGCGAACGTCGGTGTGGAGTAAGATTTTGTACATATTATTATTATTATCAAAATTCACAATTATTTTCAATAGGAAAATTAAATTACTTTGTTTTTATTAATCTATCTGTCAATTAAAAAAATATAATTCTATGTTTAAAAAAATAAAATTTATACATATTATATATATATGGAAATAAAAAGTAAGAGTTCTATGTAAAAATAAAGATTCTTTTGAATTCTATCTCCACGCAAATCCGCTAATATGGAATCCACTAATTTCCTGTATGAGATATTTTTGAAAATAAATAACCAATATTCTAGAATATGATTAAGATTTTTAAAATTTTAATATAGTCCGTGCAAAACACGGGTTGACGGCTAGTGCAACCAATGGATTTGGAATGTACAAATCAATTTTCCGTAATGTTCGTAACACATTAAAGTTTAAACAAGGATAAACTGAACGCAGTGCAATATCATGCAACAATTCATCAATTCGATTCCCTGATAGAATACACTTTCGTGCAATCGTGCTCGTACAAAGCCAATGCTGAAGAAACCACACCTTAAAATTTTGCATCTCGATCTCACCAACTGCCACAAAGAGGTACCAGGAGAAGGACGAGCACTTCAGCAGCGAGAGCTCGAGAAGGCTTCTCTTCACGACGGCCGGCACGGCGGAGTCATCGAGGAGGCTGCAATTGACGGCGAGGCTGCGGAGCGCGCCATTGCCTACTAGAATCCGGCATTCGTCGACGGGAACATCTGCAACAACAGCGACCAGAACACCAGCATTTAATTAGGGGGAAATTGATTTGGACGGGAGAGGAGCAGAGCGGAGGGGATGAACACTCACCGACGGCATCCTCGTCTACGAGACTACGAATACATGAGCAACGGCTCCCTCGCTGACCTCCTCTTCAAGGCCGGTAGCGGAGGTGGCAGCTACCCGGCCCTCAATCTCATCCACCGGCGGTTGAAGCCGTTGTCGCGGCGGCGGCAGCGAGGCACGGTTGCCTACTGCGCTGAGGGCGAAGGTGGACGGCGTTGCTGAGAGGGATTGCCGCGGAGATGATGGAGTTACACGACAGGAGAGGGGCCACTGTTGGTGTCGACGGCGGTTGGGAGGGGGAGAGATCGGGAGGTGGGGCAAGGGAGTGACGGCAAGCGCCATTGTTTTCCTCCCGGTGATATGGATGAAGCGCCGAGAAAGCTATTTGGCAATCAGTCACGCGTGCCCCTCCCCGCACGACTGGACACATGTCGCGCAGAGAGAAGGAGGGAGGAGCTAGTTTTCTGTTTTTTTTCTTGTTTTTTTTCCTTTTTTTCGTTTATGTTTGGTTGATTTTTTCTTTTTTTTATCCGTTTTGTTCGTTTCGGTTCGGTTTGGTTTTTTTTCCAGGTTCTCTTCCGTTATGTTCTTTTTCCGGTTGCTATAAAGATGTATGAATACAAAGTTTGTACTCATATGTAAACCAAGTTTATATTCGTACGTATGTAAAGTTTGTATACGCGTATACGTAATGCATTTTCTTGTTTTTTATTTTTTTATACATATGCATATAAAGTTTGTATACATCATATACAAAGTTTGTATATGTCCTATATAAACTTTGTTACATCGTATATAGACTTTGTATACGTCATATATAAACTTTGTATATATGTATATATTTTTAATGCGTTAAAAATATATTCATAAAAAAATATATACATATGTATATAGTGTATATACATACATGTGTGTATATATAGTATGTACATACATATATACATATGATGTATAGGAGATACAGATAGACTAGAGATGACCGCACGCGCGCGTGGGGCGCGCGGCTGATCGCGTATCAGCGCCCCCCATGAAGTGTGGTTGCCATAGCCTGGTCGGCTGACAAGTGGGCCTGAACATCTACCACGTAAGTAAAAATAGTGTAAATAGGGTTTAAACTGCCATAGAACATGTCGACGAGTGATACTCGTGGACTGGATGAATAGAGTATTGAGGTACGTTGGAACAGGGGTCTACGTAGTACGACATCAAAACAGACAAAAAAAAAAAGGATTATACTAGTTCAGGCCCCTTATCAGGTAATAGCCCTAGTCCAGTTTATATAGGATTAATGATGATGAGAATAGATTACAAAGAGAGTAATCAAAATAAGCAATACCGATGAGTTCGTAGTCGAAGAATTCGACGAGATCTCCCGGCGAGTTGGCTCCGTGGACTCCGGCTTCGTAATCTTTGGTGGGTGTGTTGGCGATGAGATGTGATACCCTTTGCCTCTCCCGAAGGGTCCCTTTTATACCGTGGAATACCATGACCCTCAAGTAAGACTTGGGGATATGTAAACCAACACGGCATACTAGAAATTTTGACCTTTCCGAATAGGACTTCTACAATTCCTTAACTCATGGAGATATTTTCCATAATCTGAGACGAATTTCTAAAGGTGTATACGGGAACTGACCGTATACGTGAAGATATATCTTATCGATATATTCCATAAGTAGTAGGATAGAGGGTATGCCTTATCCGTAACCGACAGAACATAATTCGGTTTTATACAGTTTAGGGGCGAAGATTAATAGTGTGAAGGGACGGCAATAGGACTTATTCCTTGTTGTGCATGTCGGAGCCCATTATCTTCTCAGACGGCGCAACGTGCGTCAGCGTGGACTAGCCCAGGCCCCTGCTCTCCTGCTCGTTCTCAAGCGCATATGCATTTAAATGGATGGGTGTGTATAAATTTATATAAGCATTTGTGTTTGTGCTTTTTTACGCAAAAGAAAAGTTTAAAATCAAGTAAAAAGTTTCCCATTTGTAGAAAAACCGTACTCACTTAAGCGAGAAATTTCGTAGTGCCGGTTTTTTAGCGCTTAGTCAAATCGAGGTGTATTTTTTTTAATGCGTGCTCTAATTTTGTCGCCGAAGATTTTTTTTTTTGGTGATTTTTTTCTCAGGTAAAACACCTTATTCTCTAGTACACAGTTGCTAATTAATCATTTTTGTATGGCTCATGCATGCAGCCATTGATTGCTAAATGGGTGGCTGAGACAGAAGCAACAGCAAAAATCCCTATGAAGCATGAAACTTTTTCATGCTTATGCTCAGCAGTTTTGGAAGGATTGCTGAAAATTCTTATCTCTATGAAAATTTCTCTAACTAAAAAAAATATGTATGCTCATGTACGAACAGAATATATTTTCAGTATTAATTGTGCACTTGTAACTGGAGGCACTGATGATCTTAAGGAGACTAAGAGCTTGAGGCTATCAAGGCGTCAAATCGTCACACAGATGCTTATGCTCAGCAGTTTAAGAAGGATTTCAAGCAGTTTTTGAGCCTGAAGGCCCAGAGGGTCAAATGGTTATCTCAGTGTACATCAGGTGCTCAGACAAACCTAATTCTGAGTTCCTTTCTGTTGAGATCATAGGCATATAATGATTTAATATATTCTATAAATAAATCATGGCATTACAGTAGCATTAACACATCATTAGATCTACACATGTAAACTAAGCAGTAAAACATGAACAGATGAAATATGCGTAACATGTCGAACACGTACCGAGCTGGCGGAAAGACCGGTTGCTCGGCAGGAACTACTCGCGGTTGCGGGCGTCGACGAAGGCGCGCAGCACGCGAGCGGAGAGGAAGGCGAGCCGTCGTGGACGAACAGGGAGCAGTCGCGCGAAGCGCTTCCCAAAAACCTTATTGCCCCCTTCTCCCGGTGCAGGACGTCGAAGGCAGAGGTTCCGGAGACCTGCTCTCCCGATCGCCGGTGCACGCCGGCGAGCGGGATGGAGTAGTCTACGAGTGACGGCGCAGTATAGAGTAGGAGGCAAACCATAGATTGATTTCGCATGTGTTGCGTGAAGGCGGCGGCTCGGTTTATATAGAGATAGGTCGCTTGATCAGGGCGCCCGCACGATCTCCCCTCCGCGTAACCGAACCGGATAAGTCGCGCGTAACTTATCCGGACTCCACGCCGTTTTCACGCATCGGATTTTTCGGAATGTTTCCAAAAACAAAACAAATCCGAATTTTCCTGCAGCAAAACAAAACTGCAAAAGGAGGCTGCATCTGCACAAGGGTGAGGAGCCAATTTTGCGGACCAATCGACGCGTACGTCGTGCACGTGCGCCGCTTGCCCTGCTAGGCCAGGCGAGCGAGCGCGTGCATGTGTTCCCCTTCTTCTCTCCACCATACATGCTTCAAGTGGCTAGGAGGGCATCCTCCCTTTTAAGGAGGTCCCCCTCTCCTAGAATAAGCAAGGTAGTACTAAACTCCACATGCATGCCATCCCATGTGGTGGGATTTTGTGATTTTCCAAAGATTAAACCAAAGAATTAATCTTCCAGTGGGCTAAGGCCCATCCATTAATTCCAACAATCCCCAACCAAATCTCAAAATCCCACTGAGATTTTCCTTTTCCAATGTACTGTTTATATACCAGCGGTTCGATGGAGACCGATTAAGGTTGAACATCCATCTAGAACTCCAAGCTACACTTATTCACAACTTGAACAATGGACTACGCCTTGAATTGCAAGTCTTGTGCAAGCAAGTTTCACTCAGAGTCTTATCTGGTACTATACCGTCTATAGACTACCCCTCGGGTGGAGCGTATAAGTCATACTCCTAGGTCTTTAGTAAGCTTCCTAGAAGATTCACTCAAAATCTCCACAGGCTGCGACCAACAGTCAAGCTCACAAAGGTGAGTTCTTTCAAGAATGCTCTGCAGGACATCATCTTCGCTAATTAAAGCCAACAGAACTCATTAAGGCATAGCGAACCTGCCTTGCAGCTCTCGAGAGTACATGCATCTTCACTTAGAGAGGATATATATTAGTACTCTCCTCTAGTTTACTAATGGTTTGTTTTCCCAGGTTCTAATTCACGGGATCTCTGATCACATAGACTGGGTTACCACCATAGTATAACTCACATAGGTCTCAAACCCATATCCTTCGATGCATTGTCTATCACATTTCGTGATAGTCCCTTCGTAAAGGGATCTGCCAGGTTTCTAGCTGTTTGGATGTAATCCAACGTTATAACTCCGGAGTTTCTCAATTTCCTGACAGACTTCAATCGCCTTTTCACATGTCTAGATGATTTCATATTATCCTTAGAACTATTCACTTTGACAATTACCGTTTGATTGTCACAGTTCATAAGGATAGCCGGCACCGGTTTTTCAACAATAGGCAGATCCATTAATAGATCACGCAGCCATTCTGACTCAACAGTAGCAGTATCTAGTGTCGTCAGCTCTGCTTCCATGGTTGACCTTATCAAAATGGTCTGTTTGCGAGACCTCCACGAAACAGCACCACCGCCCAGTGTGAAGATATATCCACTAGTGGCTTTGATCTCATCCACATCAGAGATCCAGTTAGAATCACTATAACCCTCCAGGACTGTAGGATACCCAGTATAGTGAAGCCTCAATTCCATAGTACCTTTCAGATAGCACATTACTCGCTCAAGCGCACGCCGGTGATCATCTCCCGGATTAGAGGTAAACCGGCTCAGCTTGCTCACAGCAAAGGAGATATCAGGCCTAGTTGCACTAGCCAGGTACATCAGCGAGCCAATGATTTGGGAATATTCCAATTGATTCCTAGCAATTCTCTTGTTCTTTCGAAGCAACAAGCTAGGATCATAAGGTGTTGGAGAAGGCTTACTATCAATGTAGCCAAAGCGATTCAAGATCTTCTCGACATAATGGGATTGCAAGAGTGTAATCCCATTCTCACCTCTAATTAGCTTAATGTTTAAGGTAACATCAGCTACTCCCAAATCCTTCATATCAAAATTTTGAGACAAAAATGATTTAACCTCATTTATCACCCCAAGGTTTGTCCCAAATATCAGTATGTCATCAACATCCAAGCACAAAATAACTCCCTCACCCCCACCATGGCGATAGTACACATATTTATCTGCCTCATTGACTGCAAAGCCTGCAGATGTCAATGTTTTGTTAAATTTCTCATGACATTGCTTAGGAGCTTGTTTCAGACCATACAAAGATTTCAACAATTTGCACACCTTGCCTTCTTGACCATCAACTACAAACCCATCAGGCTGATCCATATAGATCTCCTCATCCAACTCTCCATTAAGAAAAGTTGTCTTAACGTCCATTTGATGAATATGAAGACCATGTGAGGCTGCTAGGGAAAGTAGCACACGAATTGTGGTCAATCTGGCAACAGGTGAGTAAGTGTCAGAAATCTT